TTTATTAATGCTGTACACCCTGAGCTTGAACAGGAGGAAGTTAAAGATCTTGTGTTTTGAGACTTCTTCCACTTAAGCGAGAAGCAAAATAATATTTCCCAGATTATGAAGTTCATGCTTTCTTTTGTTTCAAAGGTTGCTGGTACACACCTCTATGACTGGAGTCTTCAGGGATATATTGCTGTGGAATCTCTTTGGAAGGATAATCCTAAGAAGAAGAAATCTGGGAAAAAAAGTGATAAGGTAAGAATTCTGAGGAACTTGATTTCTGAATTTACCACTGCATTTTCAGATAAAAATATACAAACAATAGTGGGTTTTTTCCACTCTGACTCAGCTTTTATTTCTGAAGACAAAGATTTCATTCTGTCTGTTGTAGCTCTGGAAAAATATTAAGCTTATTCCAGAAATACTGTTTGGAAATTTCTTTAGTGTAATCTACTAAGTGTTTAATAGAAAAGTTGGGAGTATTGTGACTGGAATGCTAAAGATCAGGGCTCTTACGGTCTTGATCATTTGAAAAACCAAACTTATTTAAAAAAAAAAAATTAACAAACTCCATCTTAAAAATTTGATACAACTTTTTCTTCTTTGATACAACTTTTTCCTCTTTGAAAGAGAAAACAGAATCTTGTTTCAAATCCATTTCCTTTTTTGTTTTTGTTTTTTCTTTTGAGTGTTCAGGAACATTTGCTCTAGGATGATGTCATTGTGTGCTGCTCTAGGAAACGTTACTATCTGGTCATAAAACCAGCGGTACGTAGGGATATGCCGTTCTTTGGATTTAGTCATAGATAACTAGTTGAGTGGTTTAATACTTACAGCCCTATTTTAGGAAACTTCAGTTTAATTGGTTCTCATCCAAAAGACTGCCAATTAAAATTGTTTCTTATGAATCTGCTTTGAACTGGACATGGTGAAGTACCAAGTGCAGTCTTTGCTAAAAGTTTCTGGTTTCTAGGTTTCCAGTTCTTAAATGTTCTACGTGAGGTCAGGCTAACATTCACGTATGTGATTGGTTGATTGATTTATAGTAAGAATCACTTTCATCTTTATTTTCTATTCTGCGAGTCACTTTTTTATTTGGTCTGTAACTACTGTTCTGTCTTACACTAAGCAGTGTGATGTCTTGCCTTAGAGATGGCCTGCATCTGATGACAGAGCAAATGCTAACATAATTGCTTTGTTTTCCAGAGTTTGGAGAGCACTGAGCTTTCTTTAAAACAGCATTTTTGAATTAACATTACTAATGCAACAAAGTGACTACATGCTTGTTTTTAGTTTAAGAATGCAGCAGCTTTCCTTATTCCCCCTACAGAGCAGCTTTCCCTAATCCCCCACAGAGCACCAGCGATCCTGCATGATTTCCTTGCGTGCTTCACCAGGGAAGGGAAGCCGTTTTTTTCCAGCACTCCTGTGGTCCATGGTTATACCGTACCAACATTTTAAGGCACATGTGCCTTTAGTTACTTTAGATCTGCTACTTAAAGAGATAAAAGTTCAGGTGTGTAACAGAAGGCTGCTGTGGTTTAAAATTCACTTCTAAACTCACTGCATCTTTAGTTCCTGATTTCTAAGCAACTGTGCATGTTCTGTTGCTACAGTCTGCTGCCCTAACGACTGTTTTGTAAACCAGGAGTCCTGCCTGTGCAGAACACGGTATCTTCAGCCCCAAAGCCTAAGATGTAAGCGGGATATCCACAGAGAGATGTTTTGGAGAGGCAACTGCACTTGAATAGGCTGCAGGTAGGGGGCCGAGTTCCCTAGGTAGGTGTAGGTGTGGGACTGGTGCCAAAGAAGCCAGGTTGGAGAAATGTTCATGTGACCTGTCAGCTGCCGAGTCTTACGGGAGCGGAGACTTTCATCAGTGGATACTCGTCCTATCTTGGCTCCAGGCGCTCCGGTAAATGCACTTGTATAGCTCTTTGAATAAACAAAGGTTAGTTAATCACACTGTACCTTTCCTAAAACCTAGGCTGTCAGTATCTCAAAAAAATAGGCAACATTAAAGTATTTCAGAAAGACAAACTGGCAGCATCAGTAAAAATTAGCTGAGCTTTTTATTTTATTGTGTCCCAGGCTTTCAAACAGAAACATGTGGCTGTTACTGGAAGGCAAAAACTTTTGATGCTTTCATCTTATTATAAGGCTTATTCAAGCATTTGCTCCCTCAGCAGAAAAACAAGCGACACAAAGTATTGCAGAGACCACTAAGTAAACACACTTCTTTCTCTTCCTCCTTGCAGAATCTTCACATCACACCCCTTAGTTGCTGTGTTATTTGCACAAAGGGGTGAAATGCCGTTGGATGGCTTCCTCCTTAAGTTCACCTAACTGATCAGATCTTCGTAGCGTTAACTGTTGCCATTTCACTTGGTGGGTTGTGCAAGACACACAAATCGTGTGACTCAGATGAAGAAGCGCTACGGGCTTGATGAAACTGCCTGCATTTCAGAGGTTCAGCGGTCTCTTACCACGAGAGTGTACAGCTCCATTGTTTCTTTGTCCTCTGAAGTTGTTAAAAGGCAGGGTGTTGTCTCCCTGGTGTCTAGAGAGGCTGAGAAGCAGTTACACAAGGTCACATGCTTTTGAAGTCACTGGAATGTGGACTGGAAAGTATTTGTCATGGAAGAAGTCTGCTCTGAAACTTCTTTTTGTGGTCTGTGTTGGTGAAGCAGTATAAAATACGTAGTTGAGAATTTGGGGGGAAGGGGTAGGGATGGGTTTGGGTATTTTGTTGGTTTGGTTTATTTTTTTGGTGGTTTGTTGTTGGGTTTTTTAGTGGTTGGTTTTATGTTGGTTTTTTTTTAAGATAGCATTGTGATATTCTACCAAGATATGGTCAATCACCATTAATAATGAACACCTCTAACTTTCTTTATGCATATAAGTACTGGTATGTCCCTAACATGAGATGAGAGAGGTGAAGCCTACCCTAGAAAAACATTTTTGGTCTGTCTCTAATGTTGTATGGTTATACTAGTGCAAAAAAAGTACTTTTTTGTTCATACAGATGATTAGATCCACCAAATCAGTATCAACCTTTCCAGCAAAAGAATTTCTGGTTTTAGTTGCATTTTTATTGGAGCTTGTACTATACAGAAGTGTCATTGGAAGAAAATATATACTTCTAACTATCATGTATGTACTAAAATTGACAAAGCATTCCAGGGTAGATTCTGGGACTTCTGTACTAATCTGACAGCCCTGTGGAAGAACGAGATGGGTCTTGCATATTTATTTCTTACTGTTGTACTAGGCAGTTAGATTCTGTAACTAGTGAAGACAAATATAAATGTTGTTACTGAGTTGTCGTTACAGCAGATGTAACCCATTTTGTGAAACTGTCGTAACAAAAGATGTTGGTTTTTGGTTTTGTGACATTCACTGTAGCATTTTCCTGTTGCTGCACTAAGGGTTCTTGCAAACAGGCAGTATATGGATGGCTCTTCTTGGCGTGTGTTAATTGGTTACGTTGCTCGTAACTTATTTGATAGCGATAGGTACCACAGCTGCGCATAACTTCGTATTTGTGCAGCAATATGTCATTAAAATAGATGTGGTATGTTAATTTTCTGAAGGCCTTATGAAACAAAAACCTGTGCCAAATTGAGGTCATATCAACTGAAGTCAAAGTTCTGCCAAGAAAGATGAATTCCAGGACCTTCTGCTGCTACATTTCAAAATAGTGCGGCTGGAGCCCCTCCATAGTGTGAGTCTGGCTGATGAGGCTTTGACTACGCTCATTCTGCTACCCTGAAGCTGCCTTGCTGAAGGAACCAGCTCTTCAGGATGTCAGGATGAAAGCCCTCTCCTAAAACTACACAAGTACCATAAGTGAAAATCAGTGTTGGCCCTTTTTATTTCCAGAAGGAATAAATAAACGTTTCCCGAATAAGGGACAGCAGACACAGTTATTCAGCTTCTGTATACTGTATCTCGAGATAAAGTGGACATCTTTCCTACTTCTTCCCCCAGGTAGAGGAGATGGTAGAAGAAATGTAACCATCTTGGAGGGGGTGGGATGTGCATACATATGACAGGAATATTTTAAGGGTTTTATCTTCTGAAACTCTTTTGCTTACTTAAGCGATCTTTACTCACAAGAATTAATTCCACAAAAGTCAGTGGAACTAGTGTTAACATTTATATGATCAGGTTGTAAATCCTATGGGGAAGTGATAGTGAAGTGGAAGATGCGTCCCTCAAACCTTGTTTATTAAACTTAGTTTGCAAAATTTGTAGAGAATCATACCAACTTATGACTTTATGCAGTTTTTTAGAATGATGTGTCTGAAACCCTTCTGGGTATCCTTAGGCGACATCAGACTTTCATTACTGGGGTTTTGCAATTGTGAAGGCTAACACCCTGCATTGCCTTCAGCTCCGAGTAACTGGTCCCTCTGCTCTGCCCAATAGTATCATAGTTTGTGCAAGATCATCTTTTTCTACATTTATTTTCTTCTACACTTTTTTGCCTTGCAGTGCCTCGAAAAGCATTGAACTAGCTGAACTGTTAATCCAGTGAATTGCAGCTTCTATTTTTTTATTTTCCTCCCCTCCCTGTTTAATACTGGCTGAGTTTATCCTGTCCTTAGGTCAGAGGGATGGAGGAACCATAGCAGCTTGGGGATTTCATGCAACAGCAGAAACGTAAGGACTGTGGTTTTCTGTACAAAGGATTATACCTTTACAGAAAACTGCTCACAGATCAGTATTTCAGAGCCACAGGTCAATACATACCACCTGCAAGTTTCTAACAACCGGCTCCTGTTTGTCAGTCAGCTCATCTGATGTTTATTTCGATGAAACACGGCCTTTTTGCCCTTCCTCTTCTGCCTCGGGCTTCGACGCTTTGATCTGTGCTGTTGTATGGTGCTGTAGGACTGTTAGCTCGCATACTGTAATGACTTTATCTTCGAGTGACAAGGGCATGAGTTAGGGCACCAAGTGACTTAAACCCGGGTTTGGTTCCGGCCAGTGAGATAATGTGTACTGAAACACATAGAAAAAGGGGTTTCTTCAGTTAGTTCTCACTTTGTCTTGTCTTTATAGCACCCAAAGCCTATTGCTGTATTTTCAGCTCTTCTGGATTCTTCCTCTTCCCCCAGCATGGTTGTTTTTACTGAAGTGGCTGAAATGTGGAAAGAACAGCCATACCACTCTAAACACACCCTCCTTTTCAGGTCTTGTTCCTTTCTTTGTCTGCGTGCCCTTTCCCGCTTTGGTCCAATCAGCAATAAGATCTTAAAGAAAACTCTGGTGGGTTGTTTTTTTCCTCTTGCTGTGTGTCATTTGGCTGTTTGTTTAAACAGCTTCAGAGGTTGAAAGAAACCATTGCAGCTTATTTTTAGGTTTTCATTCC